ATCAATCAAACAATTGATTGCAATTCATGTAAAATCAGTGATAAAATGCTAAACAATTGTCATATCATTACTAAATCTGATGATTATTTTCACTGCTTTTGGCCTAAATGTCAATTCATATCAAAATCTAAAAGAGAATTAAGTTAACATCAATTAATTCATTCAGAAATAAAACATTTTAAATGTGATTTTAATAATTGCAATAAAAGTTATAAACGACGTGGACATTTATTGAAGCATAAAAATAGCGTTCATTTAAATGTGAGATTTATTTGTGATTTCAATGAATGCCACAAAAGTTTTACAACAAAACAATTATTATTTCAACACAAAAGTTGTGTTCATTTGAATGAAAAAAAATTCAAATGTAATGAAGAAATGGACACAACATACAAATGGACACAACATACAAATGGACACAACATACAAATGGACACAACATACAAATGGACACAACATACAAATGGACACAACATACAAATGGACACAACTGCCCATAAAGTATTGAAAGATTTTTAATAACATGTAAAAATAGTAAAATACAGGGTCTGTCAAGGATGACCCATAAGGTAGACTTTGCCTTTATGCTCCCATAGGAAATACATTATAACTATGCCCGCGAATGCCCAATTATGCACGCTCTGACAGACTATGGTAAAATATATAAAATACTTATTAAAATTTTTAAACAAACATTTGAAAATATATCAATTTTTTCCAAAATCAAAACTTTTAGATAATTATAAACAACAAGCGGTAAAATAATTTTAAAAATAATCACAAAATTATTAAACATGTCCGACAGATATGGGTACCATCGAGAGGGAACACCACAGCAACCCATCGGTGCTAACCCACTGACCCCACCGACCACTGGCCGTAGGCGACACAGTTGGACGTATGGGAGTCCGGGCAACAGTCCCTTTGAGCCGTCACCCAATGATTGGCTGCCGTCAGCGCTCTACAGTCCGGTCACACCTGAGTCCACAGCCGGCCGTCCAAACAGTCCGCTCACACCAGAGGCACAGGTATTTGGAGCCACAGGCGGTGAATCGCCACTACCCGAGACCTCCACCGGTCCGCCACAATATGTGCCCACCGGCACAACAAACCCGGACCGGGATATTGAGCCACCCATCCGGCGACTGAATCGTCTCTACATGGAAATTCCCGACGGCTATCCTATGGCAGGTCAGGCCAACACAATATCGGGTGAGCTATACCTGAGTAGCGGCGTTAAGCCGGCGCAACAATTGCGTGACAAAACGGTCCGGGATTTGGCTAAACTAGAGGGTAAAGGGTTTACCATCCAGTTTGTTAGGGGCTCAGAGATTGGTAAGGGCTGTTTCAGCAAGGTGTTCCGGGGCACCTACAACGACCAAGTGAGTTGTTATTTAACATGGTTATAATTGCGTAAAATTAATTGTACGTATTTATGCAGATCATGAACGTCGGTGAAAGACAGGGCCGACATCTGGACGCACAGCCGAACCAAGGGTTTGCCGCCAAATACGTCGAGTTGGCGCCCAATAGCGCAAGGAATCTGTATCTCTACCACGAGTGCGAAAAGCGTATATTGAGAGCAATCAGACATCCAAACATTGTCTCCTACAGAGTGGCCATTAATTTAGGCCAACGAGTAATACTTCGCAACGTATCGGACACCGAGTGCGGCGATATTGTCATCTATAGGCGCATGTTTTTGATCATGGACTACGCCGACCAGGGTACTTTATACCAGTTTGGTCTAAAGGGTAATCTTACCGATTATCTAACGGTGCAATTCACGCGCGAGTTGAGCTCAGGTATGTATACTTTTGGTGTTCAAACTATTAGTTTTGTAAGTTTAATACATGTTAATTAACCATAATGTTTGTGTTGTGTATAGCCATGGCTTATATGCACGACAATGGGGTCGTCCATCAGGACTGTCACACAAAGAACGTACTGGTGTTCAGCGCACCCGACGGTCAGTATACGGCCAAATGGATTGATTTTGGTCTGAGTGTGTCATGGTCGGTGTATGGCAAATTGGGCGTGGTGATTTCTGCCCAGGAGCTGTATTATATGGCCCGGGATGATATCAAGAAACTGGCCGAGATCATTCATTACATGACCGACAAGTGTAGCACCAATTATATGAACAAAGGCATCGATTTGACAGCACTCAACGACTTGGCCAATGAGTTGTCTGACGCCCGGCAACCGCTCCGGGATGTGCTCAAAAAGTATACAATTTAGATCATTATTTTTATCAAGTTTATTTGCCAATGTAAATTACGTAAAATAAATTGTTTACGTAAATAGTTTATACAAAAAATGTTTGTGAAAATATTTTAAAATTTTTGCTAATTTTGATTAATTAATGTTTTATTAAATGATATGTGTTTTATAAGGCATGGCTTATATGCACGACAATGGGGTCGTCCATCGGGACACTCATACAAACAATATACTGGTGTTGAGCGCACCGGGCGGTCAGTATACGGCCAAATGGACAGACTTTGGCCGGAGTTTATCAAGACCGATTTGCCACCAATTTGGCCTAGAGGTGTCGCCGGATGATTGGATTACCATGGTCAGGTGGGATGTCGATGGACTGGTATCTGTGTTGTACTTTATGGCCAACAGGACTCAAATCGATGCTATGAATACTAGTGCCGACCTGACACGGGTCGTGGCGTTGGCCCGAGAGTTGTCCACAAATCAGCTACAGTTGTCGGAAGTGCTCAACAAATACTAGTTTAGGCGTCAGTAGTAATAGGTTTGCAAAACAAATTCCTTTTATATCAATATATGATTAAATTGTTTACCAAAATTGTGTTTAATATAATAATACAATTATAAATGCAGGTTAACACAAATGCACGTAGGAGAAAATACACTTATTGCCATTGTTATATTAATAATATTACAATTTATGTATTTTAATTGGTACCCGAAACGTTGCGAAGTATCGCTCGTTTGCCTAAATTAATGACCACTCTGTAGGCCATAATGTTTGGATGGCTCAGCGCTTTCATCACAGCCTTCTCAACGACGTGGCACAAGTAGTCGTAGGGCTCGGTATCGGTGGCCAACTGAGCGTATTTGGCTGCGAACGGTTGTCCGGGCCGTACGTGGCGTAGATATTTGCCCTGGTCTGTTCTCTGGATGTCTGTGATCTATTACCATAATAGAAATAAACATCTAATCATGTAATAAATATAATGTAAAACATTATAAGTTCACATACCTGTGCGGTGTATACGCCCACAAACACCTGACCAGTTTCACCTACCTGGCCGGCGGAGTCCACTCTCAAGTCAAAACCCAGGTCATACAGTTTGGCCACATCGCGCTCAGTCTTGCGCCTCAACACCGCCGCACTGGTACGGGTGGGCACCACACCTCCCAACCAACCGCTGTATTCATCGCCGCTACTGACGTGCACTTCGCCGGACAGTGTGTGGTCCGGGAGGGCGTGGGTTGGCTCATAACCGCGGGGCGCCTCCGCGTATTGCCGCTGTAGACGATTGATATGCTCTAAGGCTCCGATATATATGGCATTATCGGCGGGCGGGCGAGTGGCCGGGCTTTGGTCGGTCCGCACTGGTACGGCTTTACCGGGTGATAGAGGTCCACGTCTCAAAAACATGCGCATATGACTCACAATGTCGGCGCCCAATGGGTTGCAAAGAATCACTTTTTTGCCTAAATTAATGGCCACTTTGTATGCGACAATATTCTCATGACTTAATGATTTCAATACATTTTTCTCAATATAGTGTATAAGATGTTGCTGTGGATCAGTGTCGGCCGTGAACTGGACATATTGGCTGCAAAATACTGGCCCGGCTGCGCAACCGCGCAAATACTGACCTTGTTTAGTACACTTAATACCCTCTATCTATTAATATAGGCATAAAACAATATTAAATTAAAATTAATCCCACTATCACGTAACACATAACCATACCTGTTGTGTATATACACCGGCAAACACCTGACCAAACATACCGGCGCCCAACGAACCTACATTAGTGTACAAAACAGAAAAGCCCCGGTCCCTTAGTTTGGCCAAATCCCGTTTGGTTTTACGCTTGAGTCGGGCGGCGGGGGTCAGGGCGACCACACGGGCCAACACCCGGCCTACGCGCCCGCCCGGCCATTGATCGCTGCTTACGTTTACTTCGCCGGACGCGGTATCGCCCGTACAACTGGTCCGATAGTCGTCGGGCGCCATCTCGAAGAGACTCTGTAGCCGCCGGTGCGGTCGTTGACTCTCCCGTGCGGGTGATGTGCGTCCGGTGGGGACGTATGGTTGGGCCATAGCAGGCGATCCCTGTGCGCTGCACATGTCCTGTGTGTTTACTGTTGTCTCTGTGTGTTAACCACTGATTGTAAGTATTTCTATAGTAATTGTTTGATTTTCATTGCTATAAAAATATATTGTTTTAAATATTATTATTATTTAGCGTTATTTAAACCATTTAAATAAATACCAATATTTCAAATAAAAATAATGTTACCTATTCAAATTAAAGTAATTGTTATTTGTAAAATTAATTAATTTACCATTATGTTGTCCGGAAAACATCCTACACTGTGTAGTAACTATACATGTTTCAAAATGCAAATTTTAAAACATTAAAATGAATACCGTTATTTCCCGTTCACAACACATTCATTGCTAAACAACACAATTGGGGTTTTGGTAAATTTTAATACTTGAAAACTATACTGTGTATTGAATGTCTAATACCTGGTGTTCATTCATACGACTACTACTGAAACATCTTGTATTTGGGCATCATTTGAGTCAACAACTCCTTTGATTTCAACAAATCCGCGTTCAACGCCTTGACCTCACTCAAGTCGGCGCCAACATTACCTGGATTGTTGGCGCACGTGTTCAACATGTATTGGATCACCCATTGTAGATATTTGGCATCAGCTTTGGCACACTTGAACATCACTCTGGGCGACAGCTCGTGTCCCCACCGGGCGAACACGTTTCGGGACACCGCCAGACCAAAGTCGGACCATTTGGCGCTATACCCACCGCCGGGTGCGCTGAACACCAGCATGTTCCCGGCGTGAACGTCGCCGTGACTGACCCCTTTGCCGTGCATATAAGCCATGGCTAGAAATTAGATAGAAAAAATCAAGTGGTAAATTATAATCATTTAAAATAATGTTTGTATTTTGTGATTAAAACATACCGGTGCACAATTCCCGGGTAAATTGCACCGTCAACTGATCGGTGAGACGGCCAGCGACGCCAAACTGTTTGAGAGTACCTTGGTCGGCGCACTCCATGACCAAAAACGATCGCCTACAGGAGACAATGTCCTGCGACGGGTCACCCGATACGCTGCGAAGTATCACTTTTCGGCCCAAATTGATGGCCACTCTGTAGGCGACAATGTTTTTGTGTTGCAGTGATTTCAATACACATTTCTCGATGAAATAGTTGAGATGATCGCTGGCCTCACTAGTGGGCGGGAACTGGACATACTTGGCCGCGAACCGATCGCCCGACTTGACATCGCTCAGGTAGCGGCCCTGTTCGGTGCGCTTTGTCACCTCGATCTATTGAGTATTACATAAACAAATTATATGAGAATAAATAAAGTCACTACTTTAACCATGTTTTAAATACCTGATTGGTATAATCACCGCTGAACACCTGGCCAAACGCGCCCCGGCCAAGTGATTGTTTGGCGATGTAGGCCACGTCAAAGCCCTTACCCTTTAGTTTCCGCAAATCCCGTTTAGTCTTAGCCTGGAGTTGGGCCACTGGCACACGTCTTAAGACGCCGGCCGGCCACTCATCGCTGCTCACGTTCAGCTCACCGGACGTCGTATTGCCCGTACGCGCGGTCTGGTAGGTGTCGGCCGCGAACTCGTAGCGACCCCTCAACTGCGGCCATGGCTTTTGACTTTCTCGTAGCTTTGGTGTCTCACCGGTGGGCACGTAGTCCTCACCCACTGCGGGCACTCCGCCAACAGCCCCGCCCAGTGCCAGCTCTTCAGGCGGACCTCTGGCCGGTTTGGGGAGCGGTGTTGGCAGACCTCTGACCGGTTTGGGGAGCGGTGTTGGCAGACCTCTGACCGGTTTGGGGAGCGGTGTTGGCGGACCTCTGGGCGGTTTGGGGAGCGGTGTTGGCGGACCTCTGGGCGGATTGGGGAGCCAGTGCGACGGGAGCGGTGTCCGGCGCCGGCGGCCACCGGCGACCCCAGTGATGGGTGGGGTCGGGTAGCTATACTCTGAAACGTTTCCAACTCCGGCAGCGCTTTGATCGGTGGCCGGAGTTATGAGTCGGTCTTGACTTTTCATACCCTCCACAAGATTGGCGAAAGTGCGTCCGTATCGCTCCGGCCCTCTGCTTGGTGTGAACCGAGGGATGGGGGTAGTGGTAGGGGTGGTGCGCATAATGCGTGCCAATGCATCCTGTGATGACTCCTGAGGTTGGTTTCCGTACCTGCGGGTCATGTCTTGTAGGTCTGTGTCTGTGTGTGTCTTAACCACTGAATGCAAGTTATTTTTAAAAATAATTTTGTTGTATTAATTGTTATTTAAAATTATTTATTTTTAACATTATTTTAGATGAAAACATAATGCAATTATTTGTAATGATTTTCTATCTGCAATGTTGCAAAAATACTTTCTAAAAATACATTCAATCTTAATGTTGATTGGTCACTGTGTCATTTCACACTGTTTGATTGACTATAACATTGGCGCATAAAATGCTATTTCAAACATTGCAGATCTATAGTAATGATTAAAATAAATACCATTTTATTTTATTAAGTTTTAGCTATTTTGATAAAAATTTCTATTTAAATAAAATTTTAAAAGTAGGTAATAAAATAATTGTTTTGAAAACATTATATAAATGTTGTAAATTTATACTCAAACTAAATCATGTCCAACGGTTCAGCGCATGGATTCGCTTCGGGGGAACCGTTCGGTAACTTACAACACATTGAGACACCGGTAGAGCCGACAAGTTTTGTTCCAACACTAATAGACACAGATGTGCCCTACATATCGGGCCCGTTATTGGCGCCACAACCGGCCCCTTATGGCTACGCACCGGTCTATACTCGTGCCCCGACATCGCAGCCCCTGTACTCAACCGAATTGGCCGAGTCTGGCCTTTTCGGGCCACCGGTTGGTCGAGCCGTACCCTTTGGACAAGACATGCCGGTCGACTACCCTATTAGAGATAGGATTCAGTACTGGGAGACCGACTGGCGACCGATAGCAAACACTGGTGGGCGCCGACAGTTACCACAGCGACAGCTCAGCCGCGAACAGCCGACCTATGCTTATCCTATTAGGGATCGTATTGACTACTGGGAAGGATTGGCCACCGATGGCCACCGGAAACAGTTTCCGCCCACTCCGCCACAGAGTCCAGTAATGGTCGCACAGTTACCGCAAATACCGGACCATAGGTACAGCGCAGACACGGCTGCTATTGAACCCATGCCGAGCCCACTCACACCGCCACCCGAACAGGTCAGCCCTCACCCGTCCGATGGGCCGTTTCCCCGGCCACTCATCCCTCCATCTGTGCCTTACGATTAGCTCCGGGACGTACAGCTGACAGACATGGCCGCACTGTTGCGCACGGCTTACGAGGAGGACGTGGCCGGTGTTGGCCAGAGTGGGTCGGCTGAGTTGCCGGTCAGTAGTGTTGGCCAAGAGGGTGACGATGAGGAAAGGCTGGACAGGTATAATGGCAGACCTCTGGCCGGTTTGGGGAGCGGTGTTGGCAGACCTCTGGCCGGTTTGGGGAGCGGTGTTGGCGGACCTCTGGGCGGTTTGGGGAGCGGTGTCCAGTGCGACGGAAGCGGTGTCCGGCGCCGGCGGCCACCGGCAACCCCAGTGATGGGTGGGGTCGGGTAGCTATACTCTGAAACGCCTCCAACTCCGGCAACGCTTTGATCGGTGGCCGGAGTTATGAGTCGGTCTTGACTTTTCATACCCTCCACAAGATTGGCGAAAGTGCGTCCGTATCGCTCCGGCCCTCTGCTCGGTGTGAACCGAGGGATGGGGGTAGGGGTGGTGCGCATAATGCGTGCCAATGCATCTCGTGATGACTCCTGAGGTTGGTTTCCGTACCTGCGGGCCATGTCTTGTAGGTCTGTGTCTGTGTGTGTCTTAACCACTGGAATGCAAGTTATTTTTAAAAATAATTTTGTTGTATTAATTGTTATTTGAAATTATTTATTTTTAACATTATTTTAGATGAAAACATAATGCAATTATTTGTAATGATTAAAATAAATACCATTTTATTTGATAAAATTTTAGCTATTTTGATAAAAATTTTTACTTAAATAAAATTTTAAAAGTAGGTACATTAAATAATTGTTTTGAAAACATTATATAAATGTTCTAAATTTATACTCAAACTAAATCATGTCCAACGGGTCAGCGCATGGATTCGCTTCGGGGGAACCGTTCGGTAACTTACAACACATTGAGACACCGGTAGAGCCGACAAGTTTCACACCAACACTACTAGACACAGACGTGCCGTACATATCGGGCCCGTTATTGGCGCCACAACCGGCCCCTTATGGCTACGCACCGGTCTATACTCGTGCCCCGACATCGCAGCCCCTGTACTCAATTAAATTGGCCGAGTCTGGCCTTTTCGGGCCACCGGTTGGTCGAGCTGTACTTTTTGGACAAGACATGCCCGTCCACTACCCTATTAGAAATAGGATTCAGTACTGGGAGAGTATAGCAAATACTGGTAGGCGCCGACAGTTACCACAGCGACAGCTCAGCCGCGAACAGCCGACCTATGCTTATCCTATTAGGGGTCGTATTGACTACTGGGAAGGATTGGCCACCGATGGCCACCGGCAACAGTTGCCGCCCACTCCGCCACAGAGTCTAGTAATGGTCGCACAGTTACCCCAAATACCGGACCATAGGTACAGCGCAGACACGGCTGCTATTGAACCCATGCCGAGCCCACTCACACCGCCACCCGAACAGGTCAGCCCTCACCCGTCCGATGGGCCGTTTCCCCGGCCACTCACCTCTCCATCTGTGCCTTACGATCAGCTCCGGGACGTACAGCTGACAAATATGGCCGCACTGTTGCGCACGGCTTACGAGGAGGACGTGGCCGGTGTTGGCCAGAGTGGGTCGGCTGAGTTGCCGGTCAGTAGTGTTGGCCAAGAGGGTGACGATGAGGAAAGGCTGGACAGGTATATCCAGAAGCTGCGCGACCGCTACGGGCTGGACATCGATATGGATAATACGTTAGGTGAGGGTGGGTTTGGCGCAGTCTACCGGGGTCACTTTACTGCCCAGGTTAGTTTGTATAAGCTTTTAATATAATAATCAGTTCTTTTAATATTTATTAACTTTACAAATGAATAGATTGCAGACATTGGGGGCAAAAGTCAGCGATTCTTATCCAATGTGAGCGTTGGTCAGGGGTTCGCCGCCAAAGGGGTATTATTTTCATTAAAAACTGAACTGTATTTCCGGTTGAGCCACGAGATTGAGAAACTGACACACAAATCGCTCCGACACCCAAACGTTGTCACGTTTTTGTTGGCCGTAAATCTCGGTAAACGCCGAGTGCTGTCCAGGAAAAAGGGGGCGGATGTGGGCGATATCCTTCAGGCCAGCGGTCAAAGCATTGTCAGTTATGACGGGAGGTTTTTGATCATGGAGCTCAGCGATCGTGGTCATTTGGAAGACTTTTGCCAGATCAACGAATTCAACAGTCGACTGGCGGTCTCGTTCATCAAACAATTGGGCGATGGTATGTATGACTCTCTCCCAGTACTGAATCCTATTTCTAATAGGGTAGTGAGCTACGGGCTGGACATCGATATGGATAATACGTTAGGTGAGGGTGGGTTTGGCGCAGTCTACCGGGGTCACTTTACTGCCCAGGTTAGTTTGTATAAGCTTTTAATATAATAATCAGTTCTTTTAATGTTTATTAACTTTACAAATGAATAGATTGCAGACATTGGGGGCAAAAGTCAGCGATTCTTATCCAATGTGAGCGTTGGTCAGGGGTTCGCCGCCAAAGGGGTATTATTTTCGTTAAAAACTGAACTGTATTTCCGGTTGAGCCACGAGATTGAGAAACTGACCCACAAATCGCTCCGACACCCAAACGTTGTCACGTTTTTGTTGGCCGTAAATCTCGGTAAACGTCGAGTGCTGTCCAGGAAAGAGGGGGCGGATGTGGACGACATCGTTCAGGCCAGCGGTCAGAGTATTGTCAGCTATGACGGGAGGTTTCTGGTTATGGAGCTCAGCGATCATGGTCACTTGGAGGACTTTTGCGAGACCAACGAGTTTAATAGTCGCCTGGCCGTATCGTTCATCAAACAATTGGGCGATGGTGTGTATGAGCTCTCTCTCTCTCTCTCTCTCTCTCTCTCTCTCTCTCTCTCTCTCTCAAAAATTTAATAATTAATTTACCAAATAATATAAGGTCTGAGTTATATGCACGCCATGGGTGTCGCGCACCGGGATATACACGCGCGCAATGTATTGGTGTTTAGCGGTCCCGTCGCCGGTGAGTACACCGCCAAATGGTCCGACTTTGGAAACTCTGTGTCTCGGGATGTGTACCGCCGATGGGGTGTTCACATACCGGCCAATCAGATGCATCGTATGATGTCTATGGATACCATAAATTATGCCGATATGTGCTATAATTTGATTGACAAGTTTGCCACCGATGAAAGCCTGGACCCCGCGGTCAGGGATCAAATGATGGCATTTGTCGATGAGTTGGACAAACAGATGGAACCGTTGGCTGATGTGCTCAAGAGGTTTACTATTCCTGATGTTTAAGGACCTATTTATTCAATGTTTTATTCAAGTTTGTTTGTGTAAACTTTACATAATAAATAGTTATTTCCGATACAGTTATAGCAAATTGTTTTGAATTTTAAATGACATAAATTGGGAAACCTAACTACACAGCTGTAATTAAGCACGTTTGATTACGATAAATGGTAAAAATTTATTTTCAAATTTTAATATTAAAACCAACAATATAGTTTTAAATAACATAAACAAGTAATTTTTTTAGCTAATTACGGAAATAGTATCCGATGGCTTAGCATAACTTTGTGACCATTCTTACCCTAATTAGAGTCTAGTGATGGACACACCAGCGGACCAACACATACCGGGCCGTCGATACCGATCGGTGTCATCGCCACCGGCACTGCAATACAGTAGTAGTGACACACCTGTAGTACAACCCGTGTCAGGCCTACTCACACCACCGCCCGAACAACAGTACAGTTCCGATCGGCAACGAACCTCTAGACGCTACCCAATCGGCACAGCCATCCAGACCTGGGAGACGATATCGACCACCGGTGGGCGCCAACAGTTGCCGCAAACACCACCCCAACAGTTTCAGCCCCAGTACCCAACCTATCCTATCAGAGACACCATTCAATACTGGGAGGACGTGACAAACGATGGCCGCCGAACACCACCACCGGTGCCATTGCCCGGACGGCCGGCACCAGTGAACAGTCCAATGGTGTTCGTCGATGTGCCTGAGTTAGCCCCGATGGTACCCGTAACCCAACCCCACCGGCCATCGCAGCGCGTTGACAGTCCGGATATACAGGTGCTTGAAAGTGGGGGCAGTAGTAGTAATACTAATAGTAGTAGTAGTCGTCGTCGTAGCAGTGAATCGTCGGACAGTAGCCCTGCGGCGCCACTCACTGGGCCAGAGTTAGGCCGGTCAGCAATGGCCGACTTGCGCGCAGACAAAGCCCAGGCCCACAACAGGTATATGCAATTGTTGGCGAGTATGAGACAGACTGCAGGGGTGGGTGACGATCGTTCGGACACAGGCGACGAGAGCAGCGAACAGGACGAAAGTGATGGGTCAGACAGTGATGGGTCAGAGAGTGATGTGTCAGCAATTGGAGTCCGACGTCGACGGGTTCGTAGTAGTAGTAGTAGTAGTGGTGACAGCGAACGGTCATTAAAGCCCAGGAGTGGACCAGACATTCACGAACTGTTGAACAGGGCGTATGAAGAGCTGCCGGTCGACCCCATATACAACAATAGTAGTAGCAGTGTGTCGGGTGAGTTGCGTATCCACAGCGGCGCCGATGATGGCCAGGAAAGGCTGCGCCACTACGCGGCGAGTTTGCGCAGACGCGGACTCGACATCGATTTGGACGACGAGCTAGGTGAGGGCGGGTTTGGCACAGTGTACCGGGGCCGGTATAACGAGCAGGTTAGTTTGTTTTATATCGTTTGATTTCTAATGTTATACCATATGCGGCACTAACAAGTTCGTTTATGTTAGATCGCAAACATCGAGGGCAGAGCGCAGAGACGCCTGTCCGATATCATACCTGGCCAGTGGTTTGCCGCCAAATTTGCACATTGGTCTATAGAAGGCAATGTGAGCACTCCGTTGACCCACGAGGTTGAGAAATGTATACTCAAAACACTCGTTCATCCATACATTGTGTCCTATCGGTTGGCCGTAAATCTCGGTCGACGCCGAGTGCTCCGTAGGAAAGTGGCCATTGATTATGCGGATAGTGATGAGGAGGAAGAGGTGGGCCATCATTTTCAGGCCGGCGGTCAGGATATTACGAGCTATGATGGCTTGGTACTGGTCATGGAGCTCGCTGACCATGGTAGTTTGAAGGATTTCCTCGAGAACAACTTGATTACTCTACGACTGACCGTCCGATTCATTAAGCAATTGGGCGATGGTATGTATCAGCTCTCTCTCTCTCTCTCTCTCTCTCTCTCTCTCTCTCTCTCTCTCTCTCTCTCTCNCCAGGCATACGCACACCACCGCCCGGACAACAGTATAGACCCCAACGGCAACGAACCAGTCGCTACCCTATCGGCCACTCAATTCAGTACTGGGAAGGTATGTCTACCGCTAGTGGGCGCCAACAGATGCCACCGACAGTACACAGACAGTATTACCCTGAATACCCAACCTATCCTATCAGAGACACCATTCAATACTGGGAGGGCGTGACTACAGATGGCCGCCGCACACCACCGCCGGTTCCATTACAGGACCGGAACCGAGTGGATAGGCATACGGTGGCCGTCAATGTGCATGAGTTACCTCCTATGGTGCCTGAGTTAGAGGTGTCCGACAGCTCAGACAGCGATGAACAGGACGAGACGGGGGTAGGGGTTGAGAGAGAGAGAGAGAGAGAGAGAGAGTGAGTGAGAGAGATTGCTTACCATTGCACAATTGCTGGATAAATAGGACGGCCAGCGGTCCAGTAAACGCATTGGTTTGACAAAAATCAGCCAAACTACCATGGTCGGCGAAATCCATGATGAGGAACATACCGTTGTAGCTAATTATATCCTTACCCGCGGCCTGAACGAGACCGGCCATCTGTTCCTCCTCTTCGCTGGATAAATAGGCAATTGTGTCAACCCTACTGAGCACAACACGTCGGCCGAGATTTATGGCCAA